ATATATTTTAAAAGAAGCAATTACTAGGGGCTGAGGAGATGGCTCAGCTGATAAAGCACTTGCCTTGCAAGCTAAGGACCTGAGTTCAGATTCTCATGTGGTGACCTGCCTACAGTCCTGACACTTGGCAATCAGAGACAGGGGATCCCCAGAGTAAGTTGACTACCTTGGATACCTGAATTGGCAAGCTCTTTGTTCAAATGAAAGTCTTTGCCTCGGTATATAAGTTGGAGAGCAACTGAAGAAGAAACTCACTATCAACCTATGGCCCCTGCATGCATGTACACACAAGTGCATATTCTCCTACATATACATGCACATATGCATGCATACATACATACACACCACACACACACACATACACACACAAAACACTAAAAGTTAAAAAATACTGGAAGTTACTGAGTACTTATTAAAATAGTATATCTATTACATAAAGATACTTTTGGATTATTCTTTAAATTTTTCAATGCTACAAAGTATATAAGGAGATATTTGGTGGCAAAGATAACAGCCCTGTTTTATAAGTGACAGAGGGGCTGGTGACAGTACATGGAACTTTTTGGACCTGTGTTTTGGCAGACATCCAAGTTTGCATTCTGAATGTCATCTTAGGAGTTAGCACTACTATAGATTAGGGGACCCCTAAGATATTCTAGAGGCAGTTCTCTATATAAAAAACAAGTAGCATCCAGGCATGGTGGCACATGCCTTTAGTCCCAGCAGTCGGGAGGCAGAGGCAGGTGGATCTCTGTGAGTTCGAGGGCAGCCTGGTCTCCATAGCGAATCCAGGCCAGCTGCTGCTACAGGAAAACCCTGTCTCAAAAAGACAAAAAAAAAAAAAAAAAAAAAACCAACTAGCAACTACTGATTTTTGTTTCCTCATTCTCTTCTTAACCATTACATATAGCCAACACAGAGTGGCATACATCTCTAGCCCCAGCTACTTAAGAGGTTGACATGAGGAAGAATCACTTGAGCTCACAAGTTTGAGACCAGCCCAGGCAACAGAGAGTCCATCTCAAAATTATATAATAATAATAGTAGATACATAAACAGTACATACCATATGCCCAGTATTGCTTTAATGAGTATTTTTCAGTAAAGGAATTTGAGGTACCAGGAAATAAATTTTTAAAATAGTCTGTCAGGGATGGAGAGATGGCTCAGCAGTTAAGAGCACTGGCTCCTTTTGCAGAGGACCTGGGTTCAGATCCTAGCACCCACATGGCATCTAACAACTCTTCATAACTCCAGTTCCAGAGGACCCAATGCCATCTTCTAGCCTCCAAGGGCACTGCACACACATGGTGCACTTACATACATGCAAGCAAAACATTCATACACATTAAAAAAATGTTCTTGCTGAGAGGTACGTCATTGCCTCTCTGTTGAAAGCATGGTATTCAACTTGTCAGTATCAAGCCATGACCTAGAGTGCCCACTTTTAATGCAAACAGGTGGCTAAATTAAGGACATGGCAATTTGCACAGAAGAGAGAAGTTTTGACATGGTCTGCATAAGGAAGATTTGACAGACAACAAAATAGCCTTCATTGGCTATTTATTCTTATATGAAAATTCAAATTACATTAAATGATAAAGGCAAAAATAGACAACCATGTATAATATGTACGTTTGCTTCAGATTTAAATGGTTTTGTACTTAGCAATTTAAATTTAAGGCAGCTGTCAAAATTAAGGAGCACTTTGCTCTAAATGTTTTTCCTACCGAAGTTCAAAGAATTTAAGTTTTTCTCAATCAAAAAATTTGCACCACTGGAGGATGTACTTTTTCCATGGGGATTTCTTGGCAGATGTATCTGTTTAAAAAGAGCGGCTTTTAGTTTATTCTGCCATTTTTACATGTTCAGAGGTACAATGTTGCATTCATGCAAACAACACCTCAATTTTTGAAACTCAACATTTTTCAAGAACACAGCAGAATTTTACCTGTGCTTTTTTCATTTTTGTGGTCTTTTTTCTGAGACAGGGTCTCCCTGTAGCCCCAGCTGGCCTAGAGCTCGCTGTGTAGACAAGGCTGGCCTTGAACTCACAGAGATCCACCTTTCTCTGCCTCCTGAGTGCTAGGATTAAAAGCATGTGCCACCACACCCAGCAATTTTTCACTCTTAAAGGAGTAAATGTTGATGATGTGTTCCTATATGTAATATAATAACCTTATACCTTATATGTAATATAGTACATTATAAAACTCCCATTCACTCCTCAGACTAAATGTAAACTGAGTAGATCTCAGGAGCACTGAACAGGAATTTTTCTTAAGAGGCACTGCCGAAATCCTTGTATAGACTATATTCATAGTGTACATAATCACCCAATTTATTTCTTTAATTTGAAACTAAAAGGGCAACTTACAGTATTACTGTCAAATACAAATGTTATTTATTGCACACAAATAACTGTTTTTGTCATTTGTTTAAATTATTCTTACTAACATAGAAGGAAAAAAATTAAGGTCACTTTGAATAACATTCATATTATGTGATATTATCACTAGATATTGGTGATGTCATTCCTAATGGGTAGATACATTAGAGGCATTTAAAATCTCTGTTGTCCTGCGTACAATGTATAATGAGAGGTAGGTGTGTGTGTGTGTGTGTGTGTGTGTGTGTGTGAAAGATGTGCAGTCTCTTTTTCTAAGCTCAATGAACAATAGATTGACTCTTTCCTTAGTAACACACTGTGACATGAGCCCTAGGAAACAGTGTATCCTTATGTGTATACAACACACACACACACACACACACACACACACACACACACACAACACACACACACACACACTGAAACACAGAAGCTCTTGGGTATTTCCAAGATGAGAGGCAGAGTCCTTGGCTTAAATGCCGCTGGATTTATGACCAGGATTCAGTGCTATATTGCTTAGGCTTCATCTAAAGCAAATAGTCAAAGATCTGCTATTGGGACTGGCAAGATGGCTCAGTGCTTTCCTTGCACGCATGAGGACATAAGTTATCCCTCAGAACACACATAAAAGGCCAGGTGTGGTGGCACTGGGAAGGTAGAGATAGGTAGATCCCTGGGGTGCACTGGCCAGCTAGCCTTGCGGACTTGGTGAGTTCAAAGGCCCTGGAAGATCCTGTCTCAAAAACACAAAATGGACAGTTCCTGAAGAATGACATTTGAGGTTGCTCTCTATCCTCCATACACGAATTCATGTGCACATGAATACACACACACACACACACACACACACACACACACACACACCAAAATCTGTTGAACAGCAAAATCTCTTATAACAGTATTAAGAGAAGTTGGGAAGTGCTTATTCACCGTGTGTGAGGCTCTGGATTCAACCTGCATTACCACCAGCAAAAAACATGTGACTGGGGGGCCATGCGTGATAAATTCTCAGAGTCCTGAAGGATGGTTTTCTCCTTTGTCGGTCCCAGCACCCCCTTTGGAGCAAATATTTTGAAAAGTATTTTCAACATTTAATCCTTTTTGGTTTGTTCAATTTTGTTTGATAGTCTAGGGAATGAACTCAAGGTTTATGCATGCTAAGCACGTGCTCTATCACAGTTTCATGTCTCCCACCCCGGTGGGAAACCAATATAACAAATAACTCTTAAGAAATAAAATGATCTTCCTTCTATTTACCCAGTAACATGCATTAAAAAGCTATGCAAGGACTGGGGAGAGGGATCAGTGGTTAAGAGCGTTTGTTCTACAAGCATGAGGGCCTGAGTTCAAATTCCCAGCACCCACATAAAAAGCAGGGCATGGGAGCATGTGCCTATAATCACACATTGAACAGGGTGGCCAAAGGGGTGGATCCCAAAAGCTTTCTGGCCAGCCAGCATAGGTGAACCTATGAACTCCAATCCAGTGAGAGACTCTCTCTCAAGGCAGTGAGGCAGAAAGAGATAGAGGAAGACACACTGAGTCCTGCTCTGACCTTTGCATGTGCTCATATGTAAAATTGGATTGGATACTGAATTATCACATACCCCTTACATCCTGTGGAAAATTAGAAAACCCATGTAGGGTATTGGATTTGTTGGGATTCCCCTGCCACAGCATTCAAGAGCCCAGATCCTTACCCACTAAATGACAGCAATATCCTCTCTTCCCTTAGTCTATACACCATATTCCCTACCATCCCTTGGGATAGTAGCTGTGACTTACTCCACATTCTAATGCTACAGATGTGAGGTTCAGTTCCAGCTCTGCTGTGTAGTCATGCTCAAGTTACAGAGCCTCTCTACCTATTGCCTAGTCTGTAAACTAAGGTGTATATTCATGCCTCACTCAAAGACAGGATCAGAACACTAAATGTGATAACATGAAAAACTCTTAGCAAAGTGCCTAGAACATACTTTAAAAATAAAATTTGTTTCATGGTACCAAGATTTTATGAGGGAGACTTTGTCATCCTTTGTCCAGATGACTCACCAAGTGGCCCAAACAATATGTCCTTCCAGTGAATAAACGTAATGAGGGTTATAATGCTCTACTCCTGAAGGCATCACATCTTTTCCCCTCTCCCTTCCCTCAGGCTTGTTCTCTGTTAATCTCCCCTTTTGGATATGTGTGCTTACATAAATTGAAATTGTCTGCAATTCTCAAAAGATTTCCTTTCATTGTCCCTGAAGTTCTTATCATTGTGGCTTCAAATGTTTGCCAGAAAGATTTTGCTTTTCTCAACAAAAACAATCCAGAGCAGTGGAAAGTCCAATGCCTGAACATTTAATTTCCACTGATAGAAATAGGTGGGCTGGAGAGATGGCTCAGTGGCTTAGAGCACTGACTGCTCTTGCAGAGGACCCAGGTTCGATTCCCAGCACCCACATGGCGTCTAACAACCATCTGTAACTCCAGTACCAGAGGATCCAACGCCCTCTTCTGACCTCTGCAGGCATTAAATTCATACACATAAAAATAATAAATAAAAATTTTTAAAACTAAGAATACCACAAATACATTTTTTCCAATGTTGTAAAATAGAAAAATGTTCTAGATCAGGGAAACTTACAGGAGCTAGCTCCTCGCCCAGATATCCTGAATGGCAGTATTTATAATCGTGTCTCTTGGGCTTATTCTATGCACACTTGATAATTTTCTTTATATTTTCATAATAATTGTGGATGAGTGCTTTTTCATTTGTTTTTTCCACATAAGTGTGCACACATGAGCCCTAGGGGGGAAAAAAATCTCCTGCCTTCCATGACTAAAACAGGTTCATAAAGAACGTGATTTCCCCAGGGTCACAAACTAAATAAGCAGCGGCATTACAGCAGACCCTGAGACCACAGCTGCCTTGCTGCCCGTGTCAGATGCACATCTTCTAAGGATGTGACTGTCAGTAGGTGTGGCTTGGTGTATTCTTAAAAGCAGATGAAGCACCAGTAAGCCCCACATCGCCCAGAAATTCTCAAAAAGGACAGTCACCCTTCAGCTCACTCCATTTTACGAGGGGTCATAAATCACAGTACATATTTCAGATTGAAAAATCAAATATAGAGAGACTATATACTTCATTTTTGAAATGTATTCATAGCCAGGGATGGTGGCTCACACGTGTAATCTCAACACTCAGGCAACTGAGGCAAAATGATTGCCAGACATTTAAGGCCAGCCTAGGCTAGACAGAGACTCTATTGCAAAAAAAAAAAACCAAACATATTTTTTTTAAAAAGAAGAAATATATTTGTGAGTTGCAGAAGCAAGTATCTTATTCTAATAAAGAATTAGAACCATCACCATAGAATGTTAATGACAGGACATTTAATGAATGTAGTTTTATAGTGTGTGGAGTTTCAGAAGTACTTTAAAAACTACATGTTCTTCACTACATTTAGAAGAAGTGTTAGTTTTTATTTTTCCTTATGGAGAGACAGCCTCAAGTAACTGCTCGTCCTCAGTCACACAACCTATGAATGCTGGACCTCGGTTTCATCAGTGCTACCGCATGGGAGTCGGACCACGTCTGCCTCTTGACACATCCACATATCTTAGTCTTCTCAGAAACACGATTTACTCATATTACGAAGATAGCTCACTGTGCCTTTCTCCCCTCACCATTCTTGCCAACCTGTGACACTCAGGACTGATTTGGATTTGTGATCCCCCACTGACTGCAAGCTGATACCAAGCTATCCATCACACCTGCCTTGTCTCCCCCAACTCCTGCCTCCACACTTTCCTTCCTTCTCCCTTTCACACTTGCCAAACCTGACCCAAGGAACTTCTTCCTCCTGCATTGACCTCATCTGCCCTTCAACTTGTTAACCCTAAAAGCTTGATTTGTCCTCTCCCTTCTTTATTTCTTCAAAAACCAGTATCAGTTCAAGGAAGGTTTCTGATAAGAAACAGCATTTTAGAAATGGGAGTGCTGGTGGAGACATGGTGGAGATTATTGTATCTCTGACATTGTTTTCTTTGGGTCTGTCTCAGAATACATACAAAGGGATAATTGTGGCTGTCGGCAAGCATAAAAAGAAATGGTCTCATTTCACACAATTCAGCAAATGTCATCTGTCCGGAGGAAGCAGCCTTTTTAAAGAGAGACAGCAAGAGCCTGTGGTTTACCTCTTCTGCCCTCAAATAAAGAACAAAATTGATTCACTAAGTGGCACATTATGTGGTGAAGCTTTGCTCTTCTTATACATTCATATTTGCATTTCCTCTGGCAATTGAACAATCCTCTTGTAGTTAATTAACTGTAAAAGAAGATAAGATTGGACAGTTGTAGAAGGCGGTATCTTAAGGTTTACCGCTGGGCTGGGTATAATCTATTTTATTTCTAATCAAAAGCCAAAAATCATCTCTAAACTAGCTCAGAGGAATATCCACCCTCCCTGCCTGTCTTCTTTGATGCTGATGCACATCCTGGTGAGTGCTTTTTTCAAGCAAACTAGGGAGCTGCGTTGGTCCGTCAGTGGCAATAAGCCTTTTTGAAGTGGTACCCCTCCCATCCTTGATGCCTGGGATTAGTGCACTAAGGTTCTTTTTCCAGCTGCTCTTTTCCATGACTTGTTTATTGCACATGCCTTTCCCTGCTCTGTGTTCAGAAGCCACTACTTAACCATCTTGATGTGTCTTGTTTACTCTCTGTCTCTTGCTTCCTGCACCCAGTTGAGCCTGTTGATGCCCGCCCCGCTGCCGACCGAGGACTGACAACTCGACCAGGTATCTGACTTGCCTCACTCCTGCCTCTCAGCACTTTGCGCTTTAGCAAACAGGGTCCTCAGCCTCTCTAAATTGCACATGTTGCAGAATAAAATTTGAAATGACTATAGGTACCAGACTTTTTAAAAAGGATTCTACTTTGCTTTTCCTTACACTTCATTTCCCAAGCTCCTCACTAAGTGATCTATTTTTTTCTTTGTTTGTTTCTGAGCTTTCCTTTTAAAACACAAAGAGAGCTTTTCCAAATGCTGGGTTCTTTGTCTCAATTTCTTTCTTTTTTAATAATTGGAGAGTTTGTGAGAACCCATCCTCTAAGATGGAAGCCTAGACAGGTGCAGATTGTGGTGGTGAGTTGGTTCTTGCTCTCTGTTCCCTTTCTTATTCAGTATCCACGTGGGTCCTTTTCAAACGAACTGGACTCAGATTTTAGTTAGCTACTAAAATAGACATGATTTCCTGAAAATATCAGAATTGTGCACCTCCAGGTCCACGAATGGGTTCTATGTTCTTACTCTCAGTCAGTGGCTAAAATAACAGCACAGATGTATGTGCATAATTTTGTACAGAAATCCTTTGTTTTTTATATTACTTACAAATTAGACGAATGTTAAAATAGACACTTCTTTTTACATGGTTTCCCAAGATTAAAAAGAAATGAATTTTGACCCTCTGTTCTGTGTTTAGCATATGGCTAAACTTAATCTTACGAATAATCTCACACCACAGAAGACATAGCCTGTGTGTATTTCTGCACAGCCTCGCCCTGCAGATAGTGACCGATATAGTGAATGAGAAAGGGGAAAGTTATTGAACTGAAAGATCTGTGTATTCTGAGGCGATTTACTCCAACTAGCGCATTATCTTCCTGTATTTACTTCCTTTATGCCCACAGCCAGTGCAATAGTGAAGGCTAGAGTCTGCCCTGTCTCTCTTCCTGGCCATAAAGTCTCAAGTCGTGGCTACCACAGTCACAGTCACAGCAGAGGGACTCCAAGTCTTTCCTGTGGTATATTCATGCTGTGATTCACAGCATGAGCAGTGACAGTGGAGGGACATGTCTTGACAGCTGATCTCACTGATTTGTGAACCTCTTGTCCAAAGGGCTTTTAAGAAGACCTTGATTAGAATAAGCTGGAGACAGCTTGGACTCTCCTAGTATCCTCCTATTGCCAGTGTCATGTACATTAAATTTCAGGGAGCCTGAAGTTCACATTCTTGTTATGCTCAGCCAGCTGGTGAAGCCCAGAATGGGGCTCAGTACCAAGCTTAACCAAGCTAAAACCAGCTCAGATTGGTCCTAGGCTTGAGACTTTTTTAATAGCACTACTCATTCTATTTTTTTAAGGATAGCATACATTTCATCTGTAAACATAAAATGGACCACTGAAGCATTCATTCAGCTGACTTTATTCAGTTCCTTCTCTGTACAAGCTGGACCTATTTGTTCCTGTTAAAATAAGAAGCCATTAACACATGCCACCAGCCAATTATTATTACTTTATTTTCTTAACCTAACATGTAAAGGACATTTCTATACACTGGCAAGAAAAAATAATGTTTCAAGACAATTAACTAAAGAATAGCTAATGATATTTTATAGGCTGGAAAAGCCATCTGAAATCTTTGCTGTAACAATAGCAGTATTATTCCATTTTGAAATTTCACAAAGATCAAAGTAGTGAAGTCTGTGGAGAATCTTTAAAAAGTAAATAAATGATAAGATCCCCGCTCTCAAGAACTTTAAACAAAATGAAAAGAACACACTGCATATTTAGAAAGATAACATGGAATTCAGAAGGCAGCAAAGTATAGAGTCACATGAGTACAAACAAAGGTGCTTTGTGATGGGAGTAGATGGAAGACTGACCTGGGGTCAACCAGGGACTCTGAAAATTCACTTCCAGAGAGGTGGCAAAAGATTTGAGGCCACAGGGGGTAGCAAGGAGGAAAACAATTCTATGCAGGTCAAGAAATGTCCCAGGGTAGTCCTTGTACCACCATGTAAAACGTGTGACTTCAGAAGGCAGCCATCAATGAGAAAGAATATATACATCCGACAGGACAAAGACCCCTAGCTAAGCTACATATGAACAGTGGTGCCTGCTTGATATGTCTAAGGGCTTTCGTAGGCTCTATCTGTATTTCTGTGCTAGCAGTGAGTCTGCCAAGATTATTGGTTGGATTGGACTAGTTCTGTAGCATTTGTTTTGATATCTCTGTCAACACATTGTATGAGACCACCCACTTGATTTTAATTTGCCAAATTACATCTTAAACTTTGCAAATTTAGACACCCTTCCCAGGGTTGACCTATGTCAGTTTTTGAATAACTCTTGCCATTCCCAAAAATGAATAAAACATGAGTGTGGGTTTAGGGATCCTCCCACCCAATGTAACATCATCAAGATAAGGAGACTGACTTCTTCACTTTCACACTGGAAAGGCCAGCATGCCAGCCACAATAATGACAGTGCTGACTTCTGGGCATAACAGCCATTTGCAGCTACTCTTCCTGGCATGTTTCCAGGGAAGAATAGACTCTGAATTACAAGTTCTAAGAAAAACACATTAGCAGGCTCCTCACATGAGTTAATGAGCTACTCTTCCATTACATTATATCCCCAGCCTTATCCATTCCTAACAAAGGAATCTCAGTGCTTGACCCCAAACCATGTAAGAGGTTTCATGGAGATGTTTTCTTATTGATTTATTATTTCATCATTCCTATCATTTTATTAATCTTCCTATCATAATGGAATTTGCTTAGTATATAGGAAGTCTTCCCTAAATGACATAATATGCTAAACATATTATGAACACACAATGAGCACTTTTTCTGCTGAGTCTCTCAAACTACTGAGCTGTGAACATTGTCAGTCATTTTCACATGTTACATGAATTTGATTTTTGCCTTTTTCAGTCATCAAGAAAATTCTCAACATCCTTTAAGCAATTCCAGAATTGTGAGTGGAGAGTTCATTCTTTAAACATTTTTTCCCTGTAATTCTGTGGCCCACAAATCTTAAAGGGAAGACTCTTTAAGGGAGTTGTCTTTAAAATCTCAGAAATACAGTTTAAAACTATTATATTACTGGATCCTGGTGACAGAGAAGGGGATGAGTCAGAAAGAAATCACTGTTGCTGTTGTAAGGAAGTATCTCAGATTTTAAAGGGCTTATAGAAAGATAAAAATACACAACCAATGTCAAAGCAACATTAGTGTCTCTAGTGTGTAAAGATTAGTATCAGGACGAGTAGGACAGAGCAAGTTTTAGGAAAAATGATAATAATTTTAAAGTACAAAAGAATAGAATGCTACAGTTCTTGGAGTAGTTTGGAAGGACAAGGTCTGTCTAATCAGGAGGACCAGAGTTAACAAAGTAACACAAAAAATGGAGCTGTCCAACTTTGGTGTTTTTTTACGTTCACATTAAAGAAAATGACCTTCAGATTTTTCATTAAAGTTCAAAATAGAGCAAGGTGAGAAGAGAGTCTTGGCCCTTTGTATCTGCGTAACAAGTAGCCCCCAAACCTTATAAGAGTAAGCAGTTAGTGTCTTACAGTTTTTATCCATCAGCATTTGGGAGTGTGGCTCAACTGCCTGGTTCTGGCTGAGGGTCTTTCACACGATGGCAGTGGAGGCACTGCCAAATCCACAGTCTTCTGAAGGTATGGCTGGCACTGGCAGAGCTGATGCCAAGATGGGGCACTTACATGGCTATTGACAAAGCCCTTGATGCCTTCACATGGCAGCTGGCTTCCCCTACACAAGGGAGTAAGAAAGAAGCTTCGGTGCTTTTTACGACCCGGGCTTACCTTCAGGTCTGCACATGCTATTTATGTAGACCTAGTTACCATATCCATCTCCTTCTCAAGGGAAGGGAATTTTAAGTCCTATCACTTAAAAGAAATCATAAAAAAATGTGTATATTGTACAGTCGGATCTCTAGCCAAGTCCAGCTCCTTAGAACCCAGGGCCAGAAAACTGGGGGGTGGCGGGGAATAGAGCAGCTGTGGCTAGACTTTGTGGGAGTTAGAACAGGAAAAGAGCAGAAAAGTGGGGATGGGAAGAGATAGGAAAACAGAGTTCAAAGAGCAGAGGGGAGAGCAGGTGCCATCAACCTAGAAGCAGTGAGCAGGTGGGCATTGATTAGGGGTCTGGTTCAGGATGAATTGAGTATTAGATGGAAACTGTGAGCAGTTGGACAGGAGACAATGGTGTGTCACACCCAGCATGGCCTGCCTAGGTCCATCAAATTATCCTCATTCTCTGCCGGCAGAGGCCAGGCTGACTGTTAGACCCGCGCATTCTGCGCTGTAGGCATTTGTGCTGTTTGGTGTCAGCAGGTGGGTGACAAGTTTCACAGCACCTGGTAGACAAGATTGGAAGACAATCAGACCAAGAGCAACAACTGAGTTCCCTTAGGAGCTGAAGGAACTCAGAATGAGTAGCACACAAAAGAAAAGAATCCGAAGGAATGAGCCAGCCCTCCCTTCGTGTCTGACATGCCTGTTCAAGGAGGTTGTGTGACGAGGAGGGACCTTGCTTCCTTTGTGTAGAATCAGGCTCCACAGTGCAGATTGTAGGGAAACTGCTGTTTGCTTAATGAGTGGGGTTAAAAGGCATTCTAGCAGGCAAAACTGAAAGCAGAACTGATGTGTTCCTCTGAGTTCAAGCGGGTGCTAAGCACCTGCCCAGCTGGAAACACCACGGAGGAGATGGGTTTGAAAGCCCTTCTTGGGGCTAGAGAGATGGCTCAGCAGTTAAGAGCACTGGCTATACTTGCAGAGGACCCAAGTTCAGTTTCCCAGCACCCATATGGCGGCTAACAACCATCCGTAACGCCAGTTCCAGGGGATCCAACACCCTCTCTGGCCTCCACAGGCATTGCACCTCATGGATACATTTACATACATGCAGACAAAACACTCATATGCATAAAAAAATAATAAATATTTGAAAAGCCCTTTTTATCCTTAGATTATGAGTTTTCATAGTCAAAATTCTACAACATAGAAATTGATGTTTAAGCTTTGCGCTTTCATTTTTATTTTTAAAATATTTTTGCATGTTGTTTTTAAGCCATGAATTATTTGAATAATGAAATTCATTGTAACAATTGGTATAAGGATCATGTAGCCATGTGTAGAGGGAAGGACTAGTAGGTTATAAATTCTCTTGGTGCCAAAGAAGCATTTTGGACATTATGTACTGCTGATTTTCACCTGGTAGGCAAAAGAATTCCATGTGGCTATACAACTAGAATGCATGACTAAACAAATTATATGATTTTTACAATGCTCCTCAGCATAGAAACATGAACATAATTTATTTGTAATTGAAACAAAACCCCAAAGAAGCAGTTTTGTCCTCCTAGGTAATTAATGTTCATTTTTAAAGCCTCACATTATTTTTTTTCCCCTAAGGTAGTGACAGCACATGGAAATGCACACATAATAAGCAGTTAGCCACTAAAACCAACTCAACATTTTCAAGGAACAAATTCAGCCCAACATCCCAGCCAGCATTGATCCTCCTTCCCTCCGTTCCCTATTTTAATTACATCATATGTTTGGTAATAGAAGCATTAAACTCAGCTCTCTCCAGCCTTTTTGTTTGGTAGGCAGTGGTTAATGATTTAAACACAGGATATCATTTTTCTTGGAAAAACTCCTTAATCTATTTTTCCTCCAACTTCAAGCCTAGAAAGTTTTTTTGGTTTGTTTGTTTGCTTTGGGAGCCTTTGTTTTGTCACGTGACTGTTTATAGGTAAAACTACCTGATGGTTCTATGTACATTAACTTTGTTTAAATGCAGGTTCTGGGTTGACAAATATCAAGACGGAAGAAATCTCTGAAGTGAAAATAGATACAGACTTTGGACATGATTCAGGATTTGAAGTTCGCCATCAAAAACTGGTATGCAAATTAATTTACCTCTTCCCAAACCATATGTCTATCCATATGACCTGGTAATGCTCACTCATCCTATGCCGAGATTCAAAGGGAGAGATAAAAGCAAAACCAAAATGCTTTCCTGGAGGATCATCACAAAGACATGAAGAGAAGAAAAAGGAGCTCTGTGTAGTTCTTTCTGACTAGCAGATAGCTGAGCCTTTCAGTAGTGCAGTCACATCAGTTAAAATACATGCACTCTGTTTTCTCAGGAAATAAGTTTTGTGTAGGTTGAGCATCTCTAATCCAGATAACCAAAATGCAAAGTTCCAGAACTTACTTTTACTTCTTAACCCTTAGCAGGATGTCACAAATAGGAAACTTTACACCATGACACTATGAGCAGTATTACATAAGATTTTCTTCAGGGCTGATGTATAAAGTATATAGGAAACATAAATTAATTTTGTTTTGATTTGAGTCCCCTCCCCAGGATAATCTCATTATGCAAATAACAAAGTACAGAATCTAGAATCTGAAACCCTTCTGATCATAACTATTCCAAATAACAGATTATCAATCTGTTATAGATTTACTTAATGGATCAGAGTTACAAATAAACACACAGAGACACATGAGCCCTTTTTATAGTTGTTTGCTTAAGTTCCCATTGCAAGTAGCTCCCTTCCATCCTTTGTCCGTCTCTTCTACCCTCCTTTCCATCCCCTTTGCACCCCTCTTCTTACAAGGGAAATATTCTGGTGACCCTGTCAAAGTAGGTGGAGGCAGGAGGCGACCGTGACTCATGATCTCCCTATTAGCATCATTTGTCAAAAAGCTTGGGCAATGAAGACAGCAGTTGCTTTTAAATACAGTGTCTTTTTTTTTTCCTCTTCTTAATGTTAGAATTAATAAACAAAAAAAGCAAACATCTCTTTTATAGACAGGCAGCTCCAGAGGTTATATAAATTCTTTACCAAAAATTCAAATAAGTCAAATCCTGGACCATTAAGGTTCTTCCATGTTATTGGTTATCACAGTAAGGGACTTAGATTAATAAAAGAAGACTATTTTATTGCACATTCAGTGGTGAACAAAAAATGGTAATAAAACTCACGTGGTAATACTTGATAAATACTCAAGTACTGCTTTTAGGTAGGGTGTGTATGTGTATCTTTCTGCTTGTCTACAGTTTGATCCTTTATGGATACTGCCTTTCCAATATCTGTAAATATAGTGTATAAATCCTAGGAGTCTCCAAAAGAAAGGCCTTTATTGTTTGGCTTCTCATCTCTCTAAATTATCATAACAAACCAGAACTGGCTTGGAATTCAGATTTGCATTTTAACTTTCATTGTGTTTCAGAAAAAGACATCTAGGCTGCTGAGGCATGGTTTTCATCAGCAAGTTAATCTCTGTATTATTGTGAAATCAGGGATGCTCTTAATCAGGTTAATGCAGAAGGGTTTTAAAAACAAAACTGGGGGAATGGTTGGAGGATTGGGAGCCAGTGGGACAGAGAGCTGAACATAAAGGCACAGAATCGAGTTTTCCTGAGTGGTGTCATAGAAGCCCTTCTTGGTAATTACACTAACTCCTGTAATGTGACAGTGACTAATGGCTACAGCAGCAATTAAGAGCATCAGCTCCCTCTACTGAGCTAGTTGATAAGATAATGTACTATAATTAGTGCAATGAATATTACAAAATTACAGTATTTTCTTAAAGACATAGGGATATGTCCAGACTCACATTTATTCCTGATTACTTCACTCTAGTATCATTAGCTAATTAATGATTTCCTTTTATAAATATGTTGAACTAGCATATTTGGTTAACAAGAAAACTAATTATGAACCATTTCTAATTTTGTTGCAGATGTACCATGAGTAACATCTACTGAGAAATTTCTTTTATTTGCTCTAGTTTACTCTGTCTTTGCGGATTGCTGTGATAGTTTTAGCAATGAAAATCAGTCATTTGCCTTTCTTGAGGCGCTATTGACAGAATTATTTAGAGAGCTGTTTTCACCAACTTACATAACAAATGTGGTGTATGTTTAGGAATAGCCTTTCTTTTTTTGATCTGGCATAATATCTCCTTATATAACAAGATGATTAAAGTTGCTGTCTGCAGCTCTTAATTCCACTTAACTAGATAAAGCTGAAAAATAATGGCTTGCTTTTGTAAAGAGCATGAAGGTCTATGGTGCAGGAAATGTGTCTCACTGAATGCATTTCTTTGTGATGCTCTCAGAACATCTCAAAACAAACAACTAGAGTAAAGCAGTGTTTTCCATCTTGGTTTCTAGGGAGAGCATGAGTTATATGTAACTGTTAAGATCCTCTCTGCCTTCCACTTCTTCCCTTTGAAAAACAACCATGCTTTTAAACTATGTTTGTCAAGGTTAATTAGAATCTTGATTTATTATGCCTTGAAGTAAGAAAACCAGAACTGTCCTTTTTGCTCTGATTAACTAACTCATTTGTTTCAGAATGTTTATTGCTAAGTATTGAACGTGTCCCTCCAAAGAAACAGAAACATAAAGATTTGAAAGATACCGAAGGCAGAGTTATCTGCTGTGAGTGGAAAAGTGCTTACCTCCCTCCATAACCATGACTGACACCTCTACAGCTTTGTCCAATCCAAGAGCTCACCACATACTCACCTGTCAAAGGGTTTCAGGTCCCTGCAGACTTCTGTTTTGACGTAGTGTGGAGAAAGTTAAATTCCCGGAGCTGGGGAAGCCACAGGTTCATTGTTCTGAAGAACAGGATGGTCATTCTTATTGACCAGAAACTCAAACCTGCTGAGCAGAAGATCTGCTGAAACTTTTCTGCATCCAGTGTCTCCTTCAGTTACAGTCGTTTTTCTTGGTTTGTTTTCAAGGTGTTCTTTGCAGAAGATGTGGGTTCAAACAAAGGTGCCATCATTGGACTCATGGTGGGTGGCATTGTGATAGCAACAGTGATTGTCATCACCTTGGTGATGCTGAAGAAGAAACAGTACACATCTATCCATCATGGTGTGGTGGAGGTAAGTAAACTTAGAGGCCTGTCTGCAGGTGGGAGTGAAAGGAAGAGAGAGCATGATGGAGGTGAAGCTGGTCTAAGGACAGTCTGGGAAAAAGTAACCCGTGTTCCCCTGTGATGCCCAGGTCTCAGCTCTTCTTTTCTTTCTGTGGTTTCCATCCATCCCAACTTACTGTGAATTTTATCAACAGTCACTGAGGTTCTATGACGTTTATGGAAATTTACGATTTGCATTGAAATTAACCAAGTAAGACTATAATGCTCAGCTTAAAAAATAATTGCCCTTAGATAATAAAAATAGTATCGGATGTTAGAAATAGAAAAGGAAAGGTATTTGCTTAAAAATTAAAAATAAAATCTACACATACTTATTCCTGTTTTTTGTTTTTGTTTTTCTGGCTTTTGCAAGTGGGTGCATAGTAGAATCATGTATTTAAAAAGTAAACATTGAAGATAGATACTTAGTTTTGATCATAAATTTGAAGTCCCCAAGAGATAGTCACTGGGTAATAGCTAATTGTACTATAATTACAGCTCTGATCCTGAGCTCTTAGGAATGTCTGCTTAAAGCTATAATATCAGACTTTGCTAATACCTTAGATTAGACAAGGAAACATATAACAGATACTAAGGTGTGGTTTTTTTGTTTTTTTGTTTTGGGGGGGTTGGTCTTTTGAGACAGGGTTTCCCTGTAGCCCCAGCTGGCCTGGAAACTCACTATGTAGATCAGGCTGGCCTTGAACTCACAGAGATCTGCCTGCCTCTGTCTCCCCAGTGCTAGGATTAAAGGCATGCGCCACCACACCCAGCAGATACTAAGGTTTTAATTCACCTGACTTCTGAATCACAGCTTGAATGTTTTGTTTTGTTTTGATTTGGGCCTTAAATCTCCTAGTTTTTGAATAAAGCCTGACAATGACACATGACACTAATTTTCAGTAGTAAGCCTTACCTTTAGAGTTTTGCAGGAAATCACATTGTAGCAAATAGCTTAGTAAAACCTGCATGATTGCCATTTGAGATGCTGTTAAACCTTGTACTTCCATCTGAAAAAAGTCTTAGTTTCAAAGTGTTGGAACAGTAGCGGCAAGAAAGTATGCAAGAGACCATTGTGATACTGTACATGTGGACTGTCTTCACAATCTCACTCCCCACAGGCCAGCCTAACAGGAACACACAGCATAGAAGTAGTGGGTTAGACCAACAAACAGTGAAGGGTTCAAATAAAACTCTTTAAACGGTGCAGGAAAGAAAGAGAAAAGGAAGGAGGATTTATCTTTTTATGCATTTAAAATGTGATTTTGGTGAAGGGAAAGGTTTTAAAACCTCACAGTATATGGAACTTTTTAGGTAGTAGGTTAATACAATAGCATTTCTAGAGCTAAAAGACATCTTGGTGGCCAAACTGATCTCATTTTGTGGATGAGAAAACAGGCCAATAAAAATATTTGCCCTGAATCAAACTAAATATAGTCAAGGTCAGAGTCCAGGTTTTCCCCCATTCTACCCATTGCATTCTACCATAGGCCAGTGATAAATGTCTCACTAAACCAAGGAAAGCGCTCCAAGCCATCCTTAATCATATGCTCAAATAATTTAATAAACCAAATGTGAGAAAAGGCTAGAAATCTCACTTTCATTAGCACTTAGAATCTCCACAAACACTTTGTTTAACAGCAGTGCTTGTGGGAATTGTCTGGGATTTTATTTTCCTATCTCTACTGATGTGGATGCGCAAAAGACCAGTGTGTTGGATAAGACCCAGGAAACAGCAGGTAGCAAGAGGGGAAGAACTGAATAATTCACAAACCCAGGACAGGAACACACATGAAAAAACAATAGCTGTGGGGCTGGAAGACACAGGTGGTAAAGTGCTTGCCGCGCAAACATCAGGACCTGAATTGGATCCATAGCACCCACACAAAAAGCTAGGCACAGCAGTGCATGTGTGTGATACCAACACTGGGGAGCAAACACGGGTAAATCCCGAGGGCTTGCTGGCCAGCCAGTCTAGGTGAATCAGTGAACTCCAGGTTCAGCAAGAGACCCTGTCTCAAAAACTAACATGAAGAACAGCTGAGGAAACACGTGTCTTCAACCTCTGACTCTCACATGCACATATATGCTCACACACACACATACATATACATACACACATACGCATACACACCATGGTATTAAAAATACCATCTTACACTGCTTTGAAGAACAAGAGCTTAGAAAGAGCAAAATTCTAAACTCCACATAGTTACTGGCTTTTGTTACTATAATCTCTCTCATTTCTAATAAAATCTGGATTTTTTTTTCCATTTTAATGCCCTATCTGAAAAAAATGTTTTCATTTTGTGAATAACGCAAAAATTCTTTTTGAGTTTCATTATAATATTCTGTTAAAAATAGACCTAAACTGGTGACTTGAAGATCCAAGAGACAACTTCCTTTCACAAAAAAAAATGCCTGTCAGTGGAAAAAGAATTTTTTTTTTTTTTTTGAGATATGGTCTCACTGTGTAGCCCTGGCTGGCCTCAAACTCACAGAGACCCACCTGTCTCTGCCTCCCAAGTGGAAATGCCTATCTTGATGCCTCAAGCTAAGATTCTAGATCTTGGCTTGCTGGGGCTACCATAAGGGAGTGCCACAGGCTGGATAGATATATAACAGAATGTACTTCCCTAAGTGCTGGACATTGGAAAGGCCTGGATGATGATGTTAGTAGGGCTGGTTTCATCCAATGCCTCTCTTCTTGGTTTGTGGATGGCTGTCTTCTCTCTGAGTCTTCCAGGGACTGTCATTGCTATTACTACATCTTGATCCCTTTTTAAAGACATCAGTTGTAACTGGATTACAATCCACCCTCATGTCCTCATTAACCTTACCGCACTAACATCCTATCTTCTAATAGAATCACAGTCTGAGGTAATTGGGGATTAGGACTTTAACATGAATTTGATAAAGACAGTGATGCCCAGTAATGCTGATAAAAAAAAAAAAAAAAAAAAAAGTCATGTTTCCACCAGGATCTCCTGTGCCTAGGGCTACATGAGACTTTCCTGGTATTTTCCTAAAAAGACGCAACTAGCCCAACACTCCCAAAATGCAACCGATTCCCCCACAATCGCTGACAATCTTAGTGCTGAAGTTTCCTACCTGCTTCAGACATGCAGTCAAGTGGGACATAGTACCAACACTGATTCCTTTGAGTTACTTCCTAAACAAACCTTAGGGGATAGAAAGTGATAGCTCTTGCCTCCAGGATAACTAAATTTCCTCTTAAGCAACCTTCTCGAAGTCTAGGCTAAGGGTCTCTTTTAGTCAGTTACCAAGAAATGCATCTTCAGGATGTCAGAGAAAAAGAGGTTGACATGTTGACCCACATTCTGAAGAAGTTAATCTCTAAGCATCCAGGGGCTCCTCAGCTTAGGCAAGTTTACTATTTGGATAGGCTTCTTGAGCACCTAGAAATCATCTGGATTTTCACTTTATTTCCTCTTGCATCCTTTTTTCTAGAGGATGTTGTTAAGAATATGAAAACTCCCTTTTTCCCTTTTATAGCCTTTATTTATTCTGACCCTCTGTCTAGTTCTAGGTTGTGTTTGTGTGATAGAACTTTTCTATGATGCTGTCCTGCCCCCTGCCCTCAGGAAGGGGTCTTTTAGCTGGAGTGATAGAACTGGGCTACTAAGAACTGCTCAACCTGGTATATCACTAGTGAGACAGTGCCACAGGGCTCTGAGTGCCCCCAAGTGTACCCTGGACCGATGTAATTCTCCCCTGCCTGTCTTAGGAGCCCTGCTCACAGCCAGCCTCTGTAGCTCTATAGCCACAGGTTCAACCAACCCAGATCAAAACCATTTAGGAAAAAAAAATGTATATGGGGACTAGAGAGATGTCTCAACAGTTAAGAGCACTGGCTGCTCTTACAGAGGACCCGGGTTCAATTCCCAGCACCCACATGGTGGCTCACAACCATCTGTAACTCCAGGGGAATTCAACACCCTCGTCTGACCTCCTCGGGCATTACATGACATGGGTTCACCTACATACATGCAGGCAGTATATTCAAACACATAAAATAACAACAACAAATAAAATACAATTGTATCTGAATATTTACAGACTTTTTTCCCTGACCATTATTCCCTAAATAATGCAGTATAACCACTGTTTGCAATTAGAGCGTATTGGGAATTTTACGTCACCAGTGGATGACTTAAAGTAGACAGGGGAATATGGCTAAGTTATATGCAAATACCATGCTATGTTAAATAAGGAAGTTAAGCATCCAAGGAACCAGTCCATGGATGCTGAAGGATATGGAACATTATCCCTAGCTCTGGCTGCACTCCTCCGTTAATGAGTAGCCCTACCTCACTAGGAACAAAAAGGAGAAATGAACAAATCCAGTGTCCTGGACAACACATTGCACCACCAGGCGTGGTCACAACATCTGTCTCCAGATCAGCTCTTGTTCTTACAATCAAAGACTCCCACAGGTCACAGAGATAGAAAGCCTAAGGAAAGCAACCATAAAGGGAAATGTAGACATGCAACCAAGACTACTTTTTAAAATTATTTTTATTTTATGTATATGAGTGTATTGCCTGCATGTGTGTAAGTGCATCTGTATCATGCAAGGCCCATGGAGGTCAGAAGAGTTTGTCTGATCCCCTGGAACTGGAGTTACAGATGGTTGTAGACTGCCATGTGGGTGCTGGGAACCGAACCTAGGTCGTCTGCAAAGAGCAGCCAGTGCTCTTAACTGCTGAGCCATCTCTCCAGCCCCGAGTCTACCGTTTTTATTAATAGAGTAGTTAGCTGTCAAAAATGAACAGTCTTTAATTTTTGTTTCTTAAAAAAAATAGCAATAAATATTTATTTAATCATTTGCTTTAGCATGAGGCCAGAGATGCTCCTGGCAGTCATCACCCTCGCTTTTCCAATTTGATGACTCCCACTAACACTAACATCATAAGTTCCGTCTAGTAGCAGGACAGCCGTCTTCTGCACTGATGTTCATTGACATGGATATTGAAATTTTGTATATACTGTAACTCTTCCCTGCCCCATGGTGGCTCCTTCACCTTCAGTACAATGAAGCCACACCTTCTCTTTATTGTAGGGTGTAAAAGAAGTCTGCTCTGCCTAGATCTGATCATGAGAACACCATCATTCTCCCCACCCCCACACCTGAGTCATTTCCTTAATGACCTAAATAAGAAAAGTTGCTTATTTAGCTTGTCATGAAGTCGTGGCATATGACCTTTCCCCTGAGGACTGTGCTGTCATATTGGTGACATTATAAAAGCCTGGCCGAGATTGGTACGCTGGCAGCCACTGGCCTGGGTATGCTAGAGCAGTCAGGCTAAATGAGAAGCAAAGAGAACAGGCTTTTCCAGGTCTGTAGGTGGCTTCCAGAGAACAGCAGGAAGAAGAATTGGAAGGTCAAAGGAAAGCATCCAGAATGATTGTGAAGGGCCAGCCGAAGGAGGTCCTGAGACTGCCTGCAGAATTAATGTTGGCAATAAATGAAGTTTACCTACACAGAGATGTAATCATAATTGAGAAAAAAAGCGTCTTTAGGCTTGAGCAGAAAATCCATACTGGGAAGGATGAATCACTACTTTGAAAACTTCATTGGTATTTTCGTTGCTTTTCTTGTGTATTTGCTAGTGTCTTTGATGTTATGGCACCCTATCATAATAACATACACACGTTTTGGGGTTTTTTTTCAAATAATAAATAGATTTAGTGATTCGCTTTAGCATAAGGCCAAAGATTTATTCTGCCAACCATCACCTCCCTTTCCCAGTTAGGTGACTGCCACTAGCGGTGACTCCCGCCCTTGAGTGTGCCACTTCCTGGGTGTGCCTGCAGTGTCAGAGTCCGTTGCTGGTGGCAGAGCATCTGCCCACCAACGGGTTACCTTTACTATCACTCTTCCTTGTTATCTTTTCCTTCTTTACTTGCACGGTACATCTAGAGGACCTGAAATGGGAAATTCTTGGGGACTGGATTCTATGGTTTGGCTTCATCCAGTGCTGTGTATAAGGGTACAGCCATTAAGGCACATTTTGCTGGTTGCTAGCCATAATAGAATTTCACTTTGGTACTCACTGCCCTAGCTCCAGGTCAGTATGCTAGAGGTCAGAACAGTCAGTGACAGCCAGGGAGAACTGAGCACCCAGATGCCTCTACTGCCTGACAAACGAGCTAGAAATTCCTCTGAACATAGGGAAGGAATAAATAGCTCCAGATAATTGCATTCAGGTAGAAAGGAGTAGGGAAGGGGAACAGGAAGACTATTTGAAGGCTTCTTTCAGGAGAGGGAGTTTGATCAGTCACAGAGTGCTTACCTAGTATCTACTGGGGTCCGAGCCTTAGCACTACAAAATTTTTTTCTCAAAGCTATTTCAGTGCTGTTTGAGCTCATCGCTTTAGTGTTGGCTCCAGGGGCCACTTGAAGCCACATTTTGGCCTGTGCAAAGGCCCAAGTGTCAGAAAGACAGGCTGACTTGGGATCAGTCCCTTACTAAGCAGTCGGGAGAAAATATTCAGAAATAGAATGCCTGCGTGTTTTCATCTCCAACAAGTGACACATGTTCCTTTCTAAGGAAAAGGTGGGTTCTGCCCTCCCCCCAACTCCATGGTTTCATAATTCCTTCCAGAACCCTACCACCAGCTCAAGCTGCTCCCAGCTCAATTTTGAGAAAATTAGGGAGTTCATGCCACACCTGGTCATAGAGGGCATGGCCCAGTCACTGTGGCAGCTTTAGCTGTGAGGAAGGTTTACCATTGCCCTTCATTTAGTAGAGGTTTATCCGTGGACATGAGGATTCACGTCTAGCTTTCAAGACATGAGGATTCACTTCTAGCTTTCAAGAGGTTGGGGGGCGGGGGAATGAAACGACACCACCTGAACTCCTCAAGTGCCATCTGTAAAAGGAATCCCTTGGGAAGTTTAGAACCCTGAGAACGTGGAGAGCCAAGCTGCTCCATGGGAAGAATTATGAAATATTGCTGCTCCCCAGCAATGAAGGGCATGAAGGATGAGCACTTAAAACTGAGACCAAGAAAAGACAGGAGAGATAGATGCCAGGATTGGGCCAGCCCTGGACCTTGGATCTCTAGCAGGGCTCCCTTGAGTACTTGGTGTGGAACTTGAAGAAAATAACAGTATTAAGTGGGCTGTTCTTGGTGAATGCAAATGAAGTGGTCAGCAGTGTGAAGATGATGGATGATGATTTTTTTGACACTCCCTTCTTTGGAATCAACTATGAGCTAATATAGAGCAAAACAGTGCCCAGGTTCAAGTGGCATACCTCTACAGACAGGCTGTTCTCTACAAGCAAGCAGTCCCTCACGGAAGTCCCTCACTATTGCAGCTAATCTTTAGAGATGGTGTTTTAACTTTCAAGCCTGTGGCTAATTACACAATTACTAATTAAAATCAGGTGACCTCATCTGTTGACAACACAACAGCACAGATCAAAGGAACAGGAGATGGGGAAAACACCTGTGTGTTCCTCCCAAAGGGCAGTGATGCTGAGCATCCATTTGAGCAGTGTCCTCTGGAGTACTGGCTCTAGAAAAGTATTTTTTTTAACCAGGAAATGCCCAGGCCTCTCTCTGGAATAACCTGAGGACAGGACTGCAGGCAGCTCTCACTTGAGGGAACTTGGGAACGGTTCCCAGCAGGACATCTGAAAATGGGGGGAGTCTGTATGCAGAGGCCTGCGAGAGCTGAGATTTTGTCATTAAGCCCACTTTATGTCCCTGCTAAAAAGAGTCACTGGGTTTGTGAGGTGGGGTCACACACAGTGGCTATGAAGGAACCTAACTAATTGTACCTACAGTATATCACATCTGAGTTACTTTCTAAGTGGAACAAACTAGTCATATCCTATCTAGGTTGGTCCCTATACATGGTAGCTCAGTACCGACACCATGTGCTCTCTGGTGCTTTTTTCTGCATTGAGTTTAGACAGTCATGCAGGGTTCGAACTATGTCACACTGGATATCAGGAAAGAAAAAGCTGGTTGAATTGCCAGATATCACCTGGTGGTGCTCAGCAATGGGAAGCAGGGTCCTCTTTAAAATGAGGTTGGGAGTCCAGTTTATTCCCGTGCAGAATAAGAAACATCCGTTTAAAGAACACCTGTAGAATACATCCCAACATGCTTCTTTACTCTGCACATTTGCACTGATTCTCTTCATCTTCCAGTGGTTGTACAGAAGCCAAGCTTTCACTAATTCAGCAGACTTAAGTACCTCCTCTTCTTTGCACTGGGAGAAGTAGAGCAAATACAGAAACAAGAACAGCCATTACCTTCCCTAAAGGGACAAGTGCCCCGCACAATCTATAGAGACTTAACAGCCACACAGGTCAGCCAGACAGTGACTGACGGAGAAAACATTTATAATCGTTGACCTGATCTTACAGATGCACTACAGCAGTAACAGAGGACAGTTTAGATGGCCATATTTCATGTGTCTCTTAGTGCTCGTGTGTATGTGTGATTGTTATAGGTATACACAAATATATATACAGATGTATAATATTTAGGAGAGCATGTCTTTACTGTATTTTTTCTTTTTCCATTACAAATAATAATCTCTTTTATACACATAGGCCACTTTAATTAATAATTCTCAGAACTAACACTGACAAATATGAAAATTTAAAGAATGGCACAAGAGGATATTCAGGCCCCTAGTCAGCTGAAGTATTTAATTCTGCACAGATCTGAGCGTCACTCACAATGCACTTGCTATACACACTCCATGATACTCCTAGGCTTCTCTCTGACCACCACATGTTCAGGAAAAACAGTCTTCCATCCTGGCTGTTTGTCCTGTTTCAGCCAATGGGCCCTGTGCAGGCCTAGGTGTATGCACATCAAGGTTTTTGGCACCACCTAGTGGCTAGATGGAGCATCTGTATAAATGGTTGGCAAAGGCTTTCTGCCATGAGGTACCAGAAGTAAGGGTTAAAGACAAAGAAGTCAACAAAATCAACGGGTGCTCAGCACTTTGGGTGAAAGAAGAGTACTATACACTTAGTCTTTTTACTGCTTAGTAGTACTGTGTGCTTTCTCAAAGTACTGATGGTTTTTAACTCAATTCTTGTACTTGCTTTCTAGGTTGACGCTGCCGTGACCCCAGAGGAGCGCCACCTCTCCAAGATGCAGCAGAATGGTTATGAGAATCCGACTTACAAGTTCTTTGAGCAGATGCAGAACTAGACACCGCCACAGTAGCCTCTGAACTTGGACAGCAAGACCATTGCTTCACTACCCATCGGTGTTCATTTCTAGAATAATGTGGAAAAAAACAACCCTTCTGTTTTATTATTTACTCATCATTGCCTTTTGACAGCTGTGCTGTAACACAAGTAGATGCCTGAACTTGAATTAATATACAAATCAGTAATGTATTCTCTCTCGACATTTCTGGTCTCTACACTACATTATTAATGGGTTTTGTGTACTGTAAAAAAAAAATTAGCTGTTATCAAATTAGTGCATGAATAGATTCTCTCCCAATTATTTATCACATACATGCCCTTAGCCCGTTGTATATTATTCTTGTGGTTTGTGACCCGATTAAGTCCTACTTGAAATATGCTTTAAAAATCGATGGGGGATGCTTCATGTGAACGTGGGAGTTTAGCTGCTTCTCTTCTCGTGTCTAAGTATTCTTTTCCTGATCACTATGCATTTTAAACATTTTTAAGTATTCCAAATGATTTAGAGGTTTTTCCATAACTGCATCTTACTGTACAGATTGCTGCTTCTGCTATATTTGTGATATAGGAATTATGAGGATACACGTTCATTTTTTTTTTTTTTTGTCCATGTATC